AAGGACCAGATGATTTTTATTATGTCCTGATACATAAAACCATAGAACTCAAAGAGGGTGTTTCTTTTTCACAAGACTGTATGTATGCTTTGCTGACCCACCTATTTGGCTTACAGAAGAATTACTTGTTTCTTGATTGTTTTAGGGATACTTCTTTTTGATTTGGGAAATCCATAATATTCTTAAGACTGTGTATGTTGACAGTATAGTACAACTATTTTAAAATAGCAATGCTAATTTTAATATTTGCATTTCTTTTAGAATCTGTGTTTGTGGGTACCCTCGCCAGCAAGTAAGAAAATACAGAGGCATAACCAGCAGAATTCCAGTCTCCTCTGAATTCATGGTGCAGATGTTAACAGGGATTTATTATGCTTTGTAAGTTCAGTAAATGTATGTCTTGTATATACATGTAATAGTGCATTTTAGAACAGATTGTATGTAATACAAAACAGAATGTTCATTTACATGATAGCAGAGGGAGGCCCCAGAGATCTCACACTTGACATTGCAAAGGTAAGAATCTTTCAGCATTCTTGCTGTTGTTTTATAAAATGTCCAGAGTGGCTTCCTGAGTGACAATCATCAGTTCATGTTAGCCCCATAAAATGGGGGGAAAAAAATGTCTGTCATTTTATGTTAAGTAAATCCAAAGCAGACATGTAGTTGCATGAGGGTAAAAAGTGCACTATCTATAGTAATCTTTTTAGAACCAACCAGATGCTATAAAAAAAGATTCTTTAGAATCTGAAATATTACCCCTCCCCCCCAAAAAAGCAGAAGATGAAAAAGAAGCAGAAAAATTTAAAAACCAGACTACTTGTTACAGTATGAGATTGATAGCTCAGGATGACTCTAAAGATGCAGACTGCTGAGTTAAATGCATTAGTTGCTAATTGGTTAAAGAGGTATGCTGGAGTTGGCTCCTACCAGCTCACAAGAGCCGTTTGTTAAATTTTCTGGAATTTTGTGTGCTGGTTGAGAACAGAGCTGAGCCATGCTACCTAACTTGCTGATAGCTGTTTGGTGACGTGGGCCAGTGGCAGCAATGGAGCTGGCAGAGCCAGTTGTTGAACATGTACCAGCAAACCACTGAATATACCTTACCATGATTAAATATCATCCCCCCAAGTTCTGAAAACACAAGCTAGTTATTCTGAAATTAGTAAAGGTAGTCCTCGCTTAACAAACATTTGTTCAGCAGTGCTTATGCCTGGTCCCCGAAGTTACAGCTGTTGCAGTGCTGCCACAGTCACATGATCAAAATTTGGGCGATTGGTAACCTGCCCACACTGACGACCGCAGGGGTCCTTCAACTCCAGTCACCTGCCTATCTCCCCCCATCTTTGCCCTTTTGGCAGCACTGCACAGCAACACTTCCTGGTGGCAGTGGCACTGGGGCTGAAGTAGAGGCCCAGGGCCTTCAGCAGTCTCAACTGGCTGCCACCGCCCTGGGCCTCTACTTCAGTGCCAGCACCACGGGTGCCGCTGCCAAGGAGTGCCGCCTCAAGCCCTGCACCACGGCCAGCCACTACAGCACAAAGTCGCAGCCGCCCCGCCACCCTGTGCTCCTCAGACCCTGCCATACCCACCTGCCCTTCGCCATCTTCTGCTACTGATGAGGCACGCCCGGCCTGGCTCTATGTGAGGCAGCTGCTGGCCACACCAGGCCTTCTTCCCAAGGCTGCACACACCATTGTCCAAATCATGTGCCGTTCTCACAATACTTCAGAAGGTCTCAGAAGCTTTCCAAAGGGTTTCTGAAGCATCACAAGAATGTTGCATGTGATTTGGAGAAAGGTGGGTGTGACCTTCTTGCGAGGTTTCAGAAGGCCTCAGAAGCCTTCTGAAGCATTGTGAGAATGCTGCACACTATTAGGAGAATGGCACGAGTGGCCTCAAGAAGAAGGCCTGGCACGGGCAGCAGCTGCCTCACATAGGGCCAGGTCTGGGTTGCCTCAGCAGCAGCAGGAGGAAGACAGTGAAGCAGTTGGATGCAGCAGGGCCTGCAGAGAACAGGGCAGCTGAGGCTTTGCGCTGTAGTGCTGGGGTGGCTGAGTGCAGCACAGGGCTTGAGGAGGCACTCAGTGGTGCTGGCAGTGCTGGGGCTGAAGTAGAGGCCAGGGGGCAGTGGCAGCTAGGTGAGACTGCTGAAGGGGCCTCTACTTCAGCCCCAGCGCTGCCATGCCGAGGAGTGCCACTGTGCAGAGCAGGGATAAGGGGGGAGTTAGGTGAGGGGGAGTTACAGAGGAGGAGTCCCTTACGTTACCGAGGCTCAGGGCTGGGAGGGACCAAGCTGGGAATGGCTTGGATTGGGGTGGGTCCTCACCTAACAACCGGTGCAATTCAGTTAACAACGGCAACAGGGACTGCTGGGATTGCTGTCTCTAAGCAATGTGGTCACGTGACATCACAATTTACAACTGCATTGCTTATCAACAGAAATTCTGGTCCTAATTACTGTTGTAACTCAAGGACTACCTGTACCTAGAT